TGGGATGAATAAATCAGATGTGAGTTATTAAAAGGAAAGGATGTGAATTATTGATCCAATGTATGATCATTTTAAAAGTATAAAAAATAAAAAATAAAACCAAACTTGTTGGATAACTATTTAAAAAAAATAAAATGATAAAAATGTATCATAAAAATTACTCTGGTATATCTTATGAAAACTTCTATCCCTTTATTTTCAATTTCCATTCTTATCGTTTTGTTATTTCAAATACGGAGTAATTGTCAAACCAATTCAGTTTTACTTTTCACTTATACTGTTAGATTTCTCTCTTTGAACTATCAAACGAACATAGTTTTAACTTTTAATTATATAAAATTAACATTAAAATTCTTATCTTTGCTTGAAATACAATTAATAATTTTGTTGATTTATGAATTCACTCTTAAGGAATAATTGTGTACATGGATGTTTATATAGGTGAGGATCCCTACATGGACTAGGATTCACCAAATAAGTAAACTAACATAAATAACAATTCTACTATAACTAGACTTCTTTCCATATATGTCCAACATCCCCCCTCAAGCTGAACGCCATGAAACGAGAGGAAGCTTGGCAACCAATGCAGTGTAGCGTGGCGAGGCAAGAGCTTTTGTGAGAAGGTCTGCCAGCTGCTCATTAGAAGGAACATAAGAGACTATCATTTTCTCTGCAATTACTTGTTCTCGAACAAAGTGGCAATCCGTTCCGACATGTTTCATGCGCTTATGGAAGACTGGATTCTTAGTCAGACAGATGGTGGACTGGTTGTCACATAGAAGATGTGGAGGAGGGAGCTTGATCTGTAAAATGTCAAACAAGTAGGTGAGCCACATCACTTCAGCTGCTGCGGCCGAGAGGGCTCTGTACTCGGCCTCGGTGGACGAGCGTGAGACACGACTTTGTTTCTCCGTACTCCAAGAAAGTAAATTAGAGCCAAGATATATCAAGTAACCTGTAATGGACCGTCCATCTGTCATATCGTTGGCCCAATCAGAATCAGAATATGCGTAGATGGTCTGTGGGCCTCGCCGGAAGACCAAACCATGATCAATGGTTCCTTTGACATATCGCAGGATGCGTGTCAAGGACTGAAAATCTTGCTCCGTAGGTGCATGCATCCTTTGACAAAC